TGCAACATCAATCGCCATCTTCTATCTTCTTGAATCCCGTTCACCGTCCTTTCCTCAATACTCCTTATTTTTCTCTTTCACTTTTACACTCTTTAAACCCCCTGCATACGAGTGTCATTCCTACTTTGCTTGGAGGCTGATGACCACATCTCGTTTAAACATCAGTTCCCGCACGATCATCGAAGTTAAGCAACGTCGAGCCTGGTCAATAATACGTACTGTAAGCTTGGATATGCGGGTAGTATAATGGATAATAAATTACTATGACAAGGGAATGCAGATTTTATCGCAGTTACAATAAGCTTTGTAATTTACACCTGAAGATGATCTTAGAAAAGGTCGAAACTACTTAGGTTAAAAAAATAACCATGGCACCTTCCTTGATGAATTCCATCTTAATATCAACAAAGTCGTATATAAATATACATAATACCGTAGGCGTTGGTTATTATATATATATATATATATATATATATATATATATATATATATATATATATATATATATATATATATATATGTATTGATTCAGAGTTGTCCTTCTCCAAGACCAGTTGTCATCCAAGGCTATAGAACCCAGTCTGTCCTGCTATTTACCCATAGCTGGAGGGAGAAGGGTATTAGCACATGCTGATGGATTCGACTGGAATTCGAACGGAATTCGAACTCTGCTCTACGATTCTTCAATCTGAGCATTAATTAATTATTATAACCACGGTTCGTTGTCAAGTTTTTTTGAATTCTCATATACTTATATTTTGATTGGTCATTCCAGCTTATGTAACAGCGTTTCCCCTCGCGAGGGGTGTTTGATTGATTTGAACCTTTTAAAACTTTATTCTACATTGAACACCAACACTTGATAAGACACCAGAAGTGTTGAAACAAAATGGCTATTTTTGTAGTGATTTTATAACAAATTTATGTTATAATTTTCGAATAAATTTATATATATATATATATATATATATATATATATGCACATTTCATTGAATATGACAGACACGGTGCTTTGATTTAGTTTTTTTATAGAATTTCTCGTGCGATTTAATAATTTTAAAAAAAATCTTTTTAGATGATAAATTATATAAAAACTATCCGAATGTTATTTTAATCCGAGCGCTTTCGGCTATACATTTAGCCATTTTCAAGGATGAACTATTTTAACTGTTAAATAAGAAATAGTTATATATTTATATAACGTTTTCATTTTTCAAAACACAGTCAAGATATTTCTTATTTATCCTCTGAAAAAAAAAAAATTGTTAGACCACGTGAAAAATTGTATAAAAATAAATCAAAGCCCCTTGCCTGTCGAATTCAATGAAATGTGCATGAAAGAAGGATTGCTGCTTAAATACACACACACACACACACATATATGTTTATATATATATTTATGTTTATATATATATATATATATATATATATATATATAACTGTTTTCAGAATAGCTTTCATTCATAAAGAATTTTCCAAGCACACCGAGATCATTTGATTAAATCAAAATACACAACTACGAGAAAATGTAGTTTCATGTATTTCATTCTTTGGTTCTATTGATTCTTTCAAAAGATACGTTAAGTGCACGAGTGCACTTGATGTCTTGCACTTACGTATGCATACAAAAACACGCATATCTATTCATAGTGCTACTTACATTGACTAGTTGAAGGCAATACTACATGCGACTTAATTTTTACAAGTCAACATTAATAACTTAATGTGATTCAGAAACACACTCATACGTTTAGGACAAATCTAAACTCCGAAATTACACAGATAAGCAGTATTTTCTTTTACCCATCCATTCATGAAGTCGGTTAGTGTAATATGATTACTACGCATGCATATTGTCTGAATACGCTGAACACAGTCACATATTTTCTGCTTCTTTCTTTCATTAAGGTATATCTATCTAACAAATATTTTACTAAGTTAACGATTAAATATTTTACTTAGTTTAACGATTACTAAGTTTAATTGATGAGCGAGCTCACTACACAAGCAAATCTTCCGCATTCTCTATCTATCTATCTATCTATCTATCTATCTATCTATCTATGCCAATCTTTCCATATTTGTTTATGCCAATCTTTCCCTATCTATCTATCTATCTATCTATCTATCTATCTATCTATCTATCTATCTATGCCAATCTTTCCATATTTGTTTATGCCAATCTTTCCCTATCTATCTATCTATCTATCTATCTATCTATCTATCTATCTATCTATCTATGCCAATCTTTCCATATTTGTTTATGCCAATCTTTCCATATTTGTTTATGCCAATCTTTCCCTATCTATCTATCTATCTATCTATCTATGCCAATCTTTCCATATTTGTTTATGCCAATCTTTCCCTATCTATCTATCTATCTATCTATCTATCTATCTATCTATCTATCTATGCCAATCTTTCCATATCAGCTTATGTCAATTATTCCATATGTATCTATGCTAATCTTTCCATAACTGTTTATATCTATCTATCTATCTATCTATCTATCTATCTATCTATCTATCTATCTATCTATCTATCTATCTCATTCTGTTCATATCTATCTATCTCATCTTCATTATCATCTATCTATCTATCTATCTATCTATCTATTCATCTATCTATCTCATTCTGTATCATATCTATTCATCTATCTATCTCATTCTGTTCATATCTATCTATCTATCTATCTATCTATCTATCTATCTATCTCATTCTGTTCATATCTATCTATCTATCTATCTATCTATCTATCTATCTATCTATCTCATTCTGTTTCTATCTATCTATCTATCTATCTATCTATCTATCTATCTATCTATCTATCTCATTCTGTTCATATCTATCTGTCTCTCTATCTATCTATCTATCTATCTCATTCTGTTCATATCTATCTATCTATCTCATTCTGTTCATATCTATCTATCTATCTATCTATCTATCTATCTATCTATCTATGCCAATCTTTCCATATCAGATGTCAATTATTCCATATGTATCTATGCTAATCTTTCCATAACTGTTTATGTCAATCTATCTATCTATCTATCTATCTATCTATCTATCTATCTATCTATCTATCTATCTATCTTTCCATATTTATCTGTCTATCTATCTATATATTCAGATGCACATTGGCGAATGATCTGAAGAATTGTTTGACTTCAGGTGTAGTTCCGCACCTCAAGTAGAATGCTAACACATGACTAGCTAAAGCGACTGTAGAGAAAGGTTTGAAGTGTAAAATGCCGATGAATTTATAATGTAACGAAGCTTTTGAGGCTCGGTCTTTTCTTCACAACATTGATTTTTTTTTTAAAGATTTCGTGAAACTTAGACTGATGCACTACTGAAACATATATTCAAACACTTTTGCTAAACTTCACGCTTTATGATGAATGTCTTGTCTAAGCCGTAAAGTACGTCACAAAGAACTATTGGAACTGCTAGGTAACCTTAACATATTTAAGAAGGGTATTACAATAATCCAGAACCGATACCAGGTTCAAACCGCCTGCATATTACTGGCGGTCACAATCTTAAAAGCATTAGATATGTAGATAACACAGTGTCGATAGCGCACACAGAAAGGAAACTAAAACAACTAAGACAGAAGGCGGTGACGGAAAGTGACAAAAAAAGGACTAAACATCAACTGTAAGAAAACAATACAGGGTTGTTAGCAAAAGGGACATTCCAACATGCAAATTACAAATTGGGGATAACAAAATCAATCAAGTAGGAAGTGTTTTACCAGAGGTTGGAAAGTACGACACTGGAATCCTAAGAGGCAATGGGACAGCGAAAGATGCTTTCCAAAAAATAAGCAAATTATTAAGAAACAGGAAAAGGATATTTAAATGTTATGTAATATCAGTTCTCCTATATGACAGTGAATGCTTGACCATCTCCGTTCAGATGAAGAAGAAAATTGTGACGATATAGAAATGTGCTTCTAGAGAAGGATGTTGGGAATACCATGAACTGAACATGTGAGCAACGAGGAAGTTTTAGATAAAAATGGAAACAAAAATGGATACGTATTCTCAATTTCTATGGTGCATAATAAGGAAAGTGTGCTTGGAAAATTTGACACTCACAGGATATATTGAATGCAAGAAAAACGGAGAAAAATGGCGCATAACCTACCTAGCGGGCTTGAGTAAATAGATGGCGGAACAAGATAACAAAAAGATAAAATTTACTAAGAGCTACAAAAGAAAAGAAAATTGTGGAGAGCCATAATCGCTAACGTCCTGAAGTGACACGGCACATAGAAAAAGACATATTTTCACATAATTTTAACACTATTTTTAAACGGCTTAAGCTTAAAAATATAAAGAACAACTTCGCTTACCAACTGTTGCTTATTTTAGTCTTTAGTGACGAATGGACTCGGATACTTATAGTGATGAAATCCTAAGAGAACTAGAAGTTCTGCTACGATTTATTGTCAGCGGACATCATGTTAAAAAGCAGAAGATACCCGGATGAAACTGTGTTGGTGGCATAACTTTTAGCAAGATATTAATAGAAAGCAAGAAGAAAGGACAAACTATTAACTACCAAAGCAGGATGCATGATTGTCAAACTCAAGAAGACAAAATGGATAGTTGTCATCAAAAGGGACAACGAGCTACGCGTTGGAGACGTAAAAAATATTCTGTTTATAAATGCCACTTATTTGGCCACGTCATTCAGTTTTTATGTTAGTAGTTTAACTCATAAAATGTATTAAGTGAGAAATAACCATAGCTATATTGAATTTTTAGTTCAGAAACCAGTAACAAGTAACAATCAGTAATAAGCTTGGTTCTCGAGTACTCGTCCTTAAAGAATAATCACCTCTTTTATTTATGATTTACTGATACAAGTCCAACTAATTAACCCATAGCTGGGGGGAGATGAGATCAATTTATATCTTCTCCGAGAGTAATTGCACGCAAGTGAATGTAAGAAACCGAACTAGAAATGAAATTTGGCTCACCTATTTCCAC